CCCCTCTCCCCCCAACCACCACTACCCCACCACCGTCTTGAAGAGGTGAATTACATCAAATTGTACCTGAGACAAAAGGACTAATGTATTGTAACAACCCACTTACCACTGGAAATGTGGGTGGCTGATTTTTGTTTCATCAGTAGTAAAAAGGTCAGTGTTTTAATTTCCCCTGCATTAATCTAAAGATGTCAAGATGTTTAACCCATCTGAAAATTAATTAGTCAACACTTACCTGGACAATAATTTTATTATAGTAGACAAACCATTTATCATTTGTTGCTCTATATTTTAACTTAGAAACTCAGATGGAGTTATCTGTAGCTTTCTTTAATGCTTGGACGTAAACTTTACATTTGAGAGAGTGTTTCGTAGGGTTGTAGATGTATTCTACCTGAAGAAACCTGCAAATAATTTTTGAGTGGCTGAAGAATTTGGAGTTACCAAAGGGTGATAAACAAATGGGAAAATGGACTAACATAAAGTTAACAGTATTTTAGGCTTCACCATTATTTTGTATTGATATATACTTACCATGAACTTGTAGACATGTGCCACTTCATTAGCTGGCTACAACATTCGTACATGTACATCATTACTTTTGTGCACTTTGGTAACATTGCATTGTGACTTTGGTTGTTTTTTGTTGGATTCTTATTCTAGACTGGTAAAAACTCTTGGATAACTGACAAAATTACATTTCTACTGCTTGTAAAAAATGTAAATGGAAGAAAAAAAAACTTACTCGATGATTTGGGAAAATAATAAGGCCGGGAGTAAACCATATTAATTAGTCTAGCTTTATTGACTATATCCTCACCAAAGACATGTGCCACATCATTACCTGGCTACAACATACCTTTGTCGCTACTTTTGTGCACTTTGATAACATTGCATTGTGACTTTGGTTATTTGAGAGTTTTTTGGTGCATATTTGATTTATTCTAGAAAGCAGCAAAAAACTCCTGGGTAACTGAAGAAATTGCATTAGTAGTACTTGCAATAAAAAGTAAATGAAAATAATGATATGCCTTAGAATAAACCATGTTAACACATGTAAGTCTTTGGCCACCTTACTATTGATATATCCGGCTTACCATATACATGAACCACTTTGTTAGTTACGCACATCATTACTTTTGTGTACTTTGGCAACATTGCACAATTTGTGACTTTGGTTATTTGAGAGTGTTTGTTGCATATTTGATTTATTCTATAAAGTGGCAAAGAAACTTTTGGGTAACTGAAGAAATTGATTCACTGGTACTTAAATAAAAAGTAAATGAAAATAATGGTATGAGAAAATGGTATGGCTTAGAATGAACCAGGTTAATTAGTCAAGAGCTGCCTAACATACCATTTGTATTGATATATCCTTACCATGTTCATGAAGCACTTTATTTGCTCACTACAACATACGAACATCATTTCTTTAATTTGTGCATTTCAGAAACATTGTATTGTGACTTTGGTTGTTTAAGAGTGTTTTGTTGCATATTTGATTTATTCTCACGCCGCAAAGCATTCTTGGGTAACTGAAGAAATTGCATGACTGGAGTAGCAGAAATCAAGAGTAAACCATATTTATTTGATCTACATGTAGGCCTGACTGTTCTTGTTGATATATCCTGTTGCTGGCTATAACATATCTACATGTACACTGTACATAATTGTTAACATTGTTTTTGATTAATCTATGAATTTGTAAATAGAAAATCCAATCCATTGTATTTCACTAATTTTTTAATGCATATTATTTTTATTGCCTTAGTTATTTGGTTATTTATGTAGTTATTTTAATATGATAGTTATGTAGTCTTGTAACTGAAAAACCCTTGCAGGGAATTACAATAAAGTATGCATGCATGTATGTATAATAAGTTTTAAAGAGTTTGGGAACATCGCATTGTGGTTTTGGTTATTTCAGAGTCTTTTGGGTTTTTTGTTCCAGGAAATACCCATGCCTCCTCCATTTTTTTTCTAAGACCTCCCCACCCCTCTGAAAATTCCTATTACAGTGTAAGCTTCATACATTTCTTTACTTTTTTTGTTCTTACAGAAACCCCTCCCCCACCCTTAGGAAATTCCAACCCCTTCTGTAGGGGGAGACTGCTTATTTTTATGGAACAGCACTATGCTGCAAACAATTCTTGGGTAACTGAAGAAATTGCATTACTTATTTGGGAAAATGATAAGGCCTATAGTAAACCATATGACTGAGTCTAGACTTGATTGTTTGTATTGATAATTATCTTACCAGAGACATGCACCACTTCATTACCTGGCCTCAACATAAGCTTGTTGTTACTTTTGTGCACTTTGGGAACATTGCACTGTGACTTTGGTTGTTTGAGAGTGTTTTGATGCATATTACTTTTGATTTATTCTAAAATGCGGCAAAACATTCTTGGGTAACCAAAGAAATTGCATGACTGGAGCAGCAGAAATCAAGAGTAAACCATCAATATTTAATTTATCTAGGCCTGCCTGTTCTTGTTGATATATCCTGCTACTGGCTACAACATATGTACATCAGTCACTAGTTTTAGAGAGTTTGGGAACATTGCATTGTGACTTTGGTTGTTTAAGAGTGTTTTGTTGCATTTATTCTATATTGCTGCAAAGCATTCTTGGGTAACTGAAGAATTTACAGTAATGTTACTAACTGTTACTTGCAAACAAATGTAGAGGAAAAATAAAATTGTGGGAAAATGGTATGCCCTAAAAGTATGTAAGTAAAAAGTAAGTAAGTAACCTTCATTAATGTGGTCTAATACAGTTAAGCTCATCACAGTATTGTACATGTAAGTATTGCTATTTTCCAGGAATTGCCACAAACAAAAAGATGAAACAAACACATTAAGTTATAACATAAAAATCTCAGAATACAGTCACTGATAAAATGAAATAAAAACTATGTACATTTCAATAAAATTAATAAAACTATTACAGATCAATACAGCCATGTGACATTGATTTTTTTTTCAAGTGTCTTTTAAAGCTACTTAGTTTAGTCTCGTGTCTCCATGTTTCTGGTATTGCATTCCATATCTTCGAGGCTAGGTACCACCAGGATCTTAGACCTTGCTTTGTAGAGTTGACCTTGGGTATAGTTAGAATATCAATTCATATTAATTAGTTAGTGTTTGTATTGAAATGTACATGGATCTATATCATAGACATGCACCACTTCATCTACTGACTACAACATAAATTATGACATCAATACTTTTGGGCACTTTGGGAACACTTCACTTCACTCTGGTTCTTTGAGAGTTATCTGTTGAATTCTTGATTTACTGTAATCCTGCAAATATAATGCTTGGGTAACTTGGCACGACTGGCACTTGCAAAGATAAAAGAAAAATGAAAAAAAAAAAAAACGTGAAAATGGTAGGGCTTAGAGTAAACCATATTAATTAGTCTATGTGTAGGCATGGCTGTTTGTATTGATATATCCTTACCATGTACATGAACCACCTCATCGGCTGGCTGCAACATACAACTGCACACGTATACATTTATTTATTACTTTGTTCATTTCGGGAACATTGCATTGTGACTTTGGTTATTTGAGAGTTTTTTGGTGCATTTATATGTTTTATTGTAATGCGGCCAAAAATTCCTGGATGACTGAAGAAAGTGCATCACTGGCACTTGCAAGTTAAAAAGTAAATGAAAATAATGTTATGGGAAAATGGTATGGCTTGGAATAAACCACATTAATTAGCCCACATGTAGGCCTCGCTACTTGCATCAATTGATATGTCCTTACCATGCTGGCTACAACGTAAATCACACATCATTACTTTTGGGCACTCTAAGAACATTGAATTGTGACTTTCATTACATGCGAGTTCTCTGTTAAATTTTAGATTTGTCCTAGCAGCCTGCTAAGACTTTTTGAGTAACGCAGTGACTAAATAAATTGCATTATTGGTACATGTACATTCAAATAACAGAAGCTTCTAACATGAAACCATTTTCACCTTTCTTGTCTTTCTCAAATTTGTTTTTGCTTAGAGTTTTTATAAACCAGGTTTAGTTTCATTTTTCTTTGTTGGAGATTAAAACAATGCCTGAGATAAACAAAATTGGGCTTCAAAAATGTCATGAATGCAGGTTAAACCACAGCATTTTCACTGTGTTTTTTATTTAGGTTATATAATCTCAAAGACCATCGAGAGTTGGGTGCATTAATGCAACATGAGGGTAAGAAAAGGTATAGATTTGTAACTATATGCAACTTTAGGGCAGAAGCGGTAATTGCAATTTTGATGGTACCACAGGTACATGTATTTCAATTACTTTTCCTGAATTAACATTGGTCAGCAACCTCTCAGTAGACCACAATCGTATTCTCATGTGTTTTTTTTTATTTTTTTTATTTTTTGCAATCTTTTGTTACAGGTACCATAACTTGTTTGGCATTTCACAGCAGTACTCACATGTTAAGTGGTAGTGAGGATAAGACAATATGTGTTTGGGAGTGCCGCACATGGGACTGCCTTAAAACTTTAAAAGGCCATAGGTATGTGAACTGTATTAGTTTGTAATAAAATTAATGTTCCATCAAGATAATTTGTAGTTTTGATTAGATCTGTAACTAGCTGAGCACTGTACATTGTACATCAAGTGCAGTTGTCTGGTTCCTACTCTATCCTAAGTATCACTTTGAAAAACACCATTAAGGCTCAGCAATAAGTGGATGGCGCCCGTGGATAACTCAAGCTTCTAATGAGGCTACTCCTCTCCTCTAGGTAGGGGGATGCTTTATATAATAGATTACTTTCCCTGTCATACCACCACATGACACAAAGAAATTAAATTATTTTGACCTTGATGGGCATTGTCCCATATCCTCCAGATTATATCACTTTCCCTCTACTGACTGTGCTACAATTTCAGATTTACAGATAGGTATTTGCTTACATACATGTACCTATATATGTTCCACCACAGGTTACCCCATCCATACTTGTAGCTCATTTGGTAAAATGAGTGTTGTGTAAGTCGTGTAATCCTGAGATTCTGGGTTTATTTCCCTCTGAGTTCAAAACAATTATTCTTCTTACTAACGCCCTCCACATATGTGACATTTACTAGGGGAAATGAACAAGATGAAGGGTGTGGATTTACATGTATTTACAACTTTGAAAATTACCTACATGTATTGTATATAATTCTCTTGAATAATGTATACTCTTTATATCTGAGAGCCTTGTTGTTTATTGTTTCTTTAGAGGTCATATAAATTCAGTTTCTGTTCATCCATCTGGGAGACTTGCTCTCTCTGTAGCAAAGGACAAGACACTAAGGTGACTTTTTTGTAAAATTCCTAAAATTTTTCATGAGCTTTTCTTAGTACAGTGCTGAGTACTTGTTACAGCCAACCTTTTTGTTTATGTCACCTAAACAGAACATGGAATCTTGTGACAGGCAAATCAGCATATGTTACCAATATCAAGGAAGGTAAGATACATTCCTACTACTAACTACATGGACGTGAAGTTTGTGGTCCAGCCTACTGCCCATCAGGGTGGCACTTATCTCCAGTCTCTGTAGCATGGAGAGACTAGGACTATTTCTTGTCCCTCCCCCCTAGATGGGATGCTAGTCCATCATAGTGGTTACCCCCCCAGTATTAAATTTGCTGGTACCCATTTATACACCAGGGTGGAGCAGGCACTGTGAGAGTAAAGTGTCTTGCCCAAGAACACAATGCAATGATCCTGGACCACTTGATCCCTTCCAGTGCACTAGCCGTTAGGTCACTAGGACCCCTACACCTGTTCATTTAGGTTAATGTGCATGTACTGTACAATATCAAAGTTTACTTTTCAATATAACACTGAGTACCATATAAAGTGGAGGTACTGGGCAAATTACTGTCAAAAAAAGTCTGAGTTTGTTAAAAACTAGGCTGACTTGTTGGTCGTTGTTTTGTTTGTGTGATTGTAGCTGCCCTTCTTGTGAAGTGGTCCCCTGCTGGCGATAGCTATGCTGTGGCCATTGGAACAAAAGTAGTAGTTTACAAACTTGCTGTAAGTACTATACACATATCTACACTATGGAGCATACATGTAGTAAATTATCACGCTGTAAGTTCAGAATGCATATCAAAGGAAATCTAGTTAACAAAAAACAACTAAACACCAAGAGCTTGCATAATTTAGTATGACTTTATCACTGCTTCAACACTGTATGTAAACAATATTCATAGAGGACTCGGGACTCACTTTTACAGGTAACTTTACAGTTGTTAGGGGGCAATTACCCGTAGTGGTTGAGGGGCTAAATAAATACATCTTATCGGACCTTGTAAAAATTATTAATGGCCATTTTGATGTTTACAAATAACAACAACAATATCAACAAGTGGAAATTAGTTATGCCACTCTTTTACCTGGGTTTTTACAGCCCTTATTTTGATTGCCACGTAATTCTCCCCGACTTGGCAAGTGGGAGAAAGAAGCATTGTGTGTCGACCCAGGTAATGGATGTAAAGGAAACTTGACAATATTGTGGGAGAAGTTAGTATTGACCTGGAGATTTGAAGGCCTAACCCTGTAATGTATACACGTATGATGTTGATTTTTATTAGACTGCTGCCTTATCCTTTACAATGGAGTTTTCCAGATATGTGTTGGCATTGGATTTCCTCTCGGTAAGAAAACAGTTTCAAATCAGTTTGTTAACCAATGAACTTGAACTTTTAGCACCTTCTCTGGCTCCTCTGTATTTTAGTCTCAGCACAGTATCAGTTAGCAAGTTAAAGCATTTCTCCTTCACAGTCTCTTTGCTCCCTCTGATTGATCCATTCACAATTTAATAACTGCTCATGTTGAGGATAAATAATCATAACAAAATGACCATTGAGGGAGTCAAAAATCTTGAGTGTATTTAGGAAGACAAAATGTCTCTACTCTCTTGTTCAAAGGCTTTAAAAATATGCCATACTTATTTCTGCTAATACATTCAGTTTTAAACAGTAGATATGTTACATGAATTGTATTTTCCTCAACCATTCCAGGAGAACATCCTGGCTGCAGGAGGAGAATTTGAAGGGATACGAATTCTGGACATAGAGAAGGAGCAGTGTCTACAGACAGTGAAAGGGCATGCTAGCAGGTAATGTGCTGAACATGGTTAACATGGCAAGTAACAAGAAGTAGCCGATATTAGGCATCTCATATTAAATTTCCTCCCTCGTTCTTTGTCATTTTTTCCGTTCCTCTTCGCGACAGTTCTCTCACAATACCAACACAGTTGCAAGTAGTCTGTTGACTGTTTTAATCCATCAAATATTTTCCCTCGCACGTGATTGGTCTAAATGCGTCACGTGATTGAACATGCCCCAGCCAAACCTGGGGAATATCCGAGTGATATTCCCCAGTTTTCAATAGATCCCGCGTGTTGCTCTTGGAAAACTGTTCGCTTCTCGGAACAGGCAGTGTCCGCGGACAGATATCCGAGCAAAACGCAGGGTACATGTACTGTTTATTTATCATTCCCACCTAAACCTAGACCCGCCTCAATAAGCACTGAAATTCAATAAAGTATTGCTATTCGCTATGATTGAAAACAAGTGTTATTGAACTTGTGCTGACATCTTTGTAGGGTGAAAGATCTCTGCATGACTGAAGATTTGCTTAAAGAGGACACCAGACGTTTGCTGTTGTTTTCAACATCGTCCGATGGAGATTTAAGAGGCTGGGCCTTCAACCCGGACAACGTAAGGATTAAAAAGCCTTTGATCCTAAAACCAAAACAATACAGCGTTGAAATTTTTACATGTCAGAAAACGCAGTACACACCACCAAATATCTTGTCCTTGTATCGGTAAAGTGAATCCCAGAAACAATAACTTGAAAGTTTTCCTTGTGACTCAACGAGCACGTGGGTTCATTTTTAGCTCGTGGATTGCGGTAGCAAGTTACGAATTGCAGTGGGGTCGGTCGATCATCCGTAAAGTTTTGGGGGTAATTCTGCTGACCAACAGATGAAGCTCGTGAAAGTAAGCAGGCAAAATTAAAAAAAAAAGGTTGTCCAGAGAAGCGCGATAGAAAATACTTGCTAACTTGGTTTAAGTCAGAAGCCAATTATTGCACCCAACAGTTAATTTTCATTGTAAAATCAATAAAACGCCAGTGCGCTACTTACTCATTTTACTCGAGAAAGTCAAAACCAATTGTCAACTTTAGACGGTATACTTTAACTCCATACGTAGACGTCGGTCTTGTCTCGCAATTTTGGTGAGAAGCCATAAGAACGTGTTTGTAGGAGGCTGAGTACCGCCCTAATGTACTGCAAAATTATCTGAACCAACATTAAAAGAGATGTGTGACAGTCAGTAACAGGGATTGATACTTCGAGCTCGGCAGGCTGCTCCGAAAGCTGTTCATTTAAGGCCTATTGTTCCTTCTACTTGACAGTTTGAAGAAGAAGCTATGCTCGTGACCAGATATCAAGTGCCTGGTAGACCAACATGTTTGACTGTCGTGGGTCGGAGATCGCCTCCCACCAAGGTTGAAACTGCGGCCGAGGCAATGGTTGTGGAGCCTGCAGAGCCTATGAAGGAGAAAAAGAAGAAAGAGAAAGGAAAGGCTGACAGACGAACCACAAGTACTTCAGGTAATTTGGGTTTCAAAAGAATTTATGAGAGTCGTACAACGTTCGAAGGACCGTTGGTTTTATTTTGTTACTTTTTCTTCGATGGGGTGTTAAAGCAAGTTTTGATTCATTTTAGAAGGCAGTTATGTTGTTTACCTCTTTTACATCCATAAAATAGATTTCATTTTAGGGAGCGCTCTCAGTAGAATATACCACAAAGGTAGAGAAAGATATCATTTTAAATTACTCTACAAGCAGTCTTATGATTCACAACTATTTTTTTGTATATCCTTCAATACACAGCTGACGAACCTAAAAAGAAAAAGAACAGGACAAAGAAGAAAAAGTCTACAAAAATTCGAGCCGGTTCAGGCAAGAAAACAGCGAAAGGAGCAAACAACACGCCTGAACAGACGAAAGATGAAACGGGAGCCATGGAGGCGAATGACACTGGCGAAAGCGATGAAAATAATGATGATGGAGAAGACGAGGAAAAGACACCAGGGTTACAAATCTCTTGAAGACTCAAAAGCTGTATCTAAGGAGTTTTTTGCACTCGTTGTTGTCCAGTGGCAAAGTAGACGAAGGTACTTCCGGCGGAAGTCATCAGTTCAGCTTGACGCACTAAAGTGAAACATATACGCTGACCAAGGTATATGCTGACCAAGGAAATGGTGATCGTCAGCTCAATCAATTCTGGAAATAGAACCGGTTCTCAAAGCTACCAACCTTTGTCCAGTGATTGAAGCCGAAAATACGTGTTGACACACGTCTTTTGAGAACTATAGAATTTTGTCTTATGTGGCTATTTTGTCATTTAAAGTTGCCTAACTTAGTTCGCAACTCGATCTCGCTTGCGGCAGAAACCGCGAAAGGTTCTTACGGCCAAGAAAAGCGTCCGTTTTCTTCGGTTCCCTTCGATTAGTAACCTGACTTGCAGTCCGGCTACACCTGTGTTATCGTCTGTGTAGCCTGAGGCAACAGGCGTTGTTGCATGCGATACTTCGGTCGCCACGAATATTACGCGGCGGTCAGAAGGAGTGCACAAAACAGAGCCTGTTAACTCGACAGTCACCGGAAAACACGTTAATCGTTAGTGACGTAAGGTGGATTTTGGAAGAAACAGTTTATTGTCAAGTTAGTGTCAATATATGAAATAGACTGGAGAATGCCTGATCGTTGGTTAACCATATTATTGAATATATAGCGCTAGGTTACAGTCCTTATGTGGAAATCTGATATACAAGGCCGAAAAATGAGTTAATAAAAAAAATATCCAAATTAAAAGCTAAGATACCTGACGAAAGATTTCTCTGAGAAAATTTGGAAAACTTAAACAGAGATCGTTGTAAGCAGGCAGTGATCGTTTCATTTTTTTGCCCTCTATGATAGAACCCTTCCATATGAAAAGGACCAGGGTGCTCGTCGGAGATTTTGAAAAGAACCCCTTAGAGGTTCTAAGATCCTGTTTTGTGG